TTTATTTCTATACCGCCCTTCTCCCGAAGGACTCAGGGCGGTGTACAGCCTAATTAAAAACACAAAGACAGACAAAATTTAAAAATAATTAAAATTATTAAATAATAGGCCCAATTTGTAAAACCCCAAATTTAAAATCCCATTTAAAACCAATTAAAATCTTTACATTGATAGCCCAGCCTGGAGGAACATGGTTTTGAGGGCACAGCGAAACACACGGAGATCAGAGATTTTACGAATTTCTGGGGGCAGATCATTCCAAAGGGCAGGGGCTCCCACAGAGAAGGCCCTCCCCCTGGGTGTCGCCAGCCGTCGGCCATTTCTTGGTCCTCTGTCACTAACATCTGATGGCTTGTTTGGCTATGAATTGCACATATCCATCTTAAATCACAAAGAAAGCTTATGCCCTCATTCATTCAAGGGAAACAACATAGTCATGTGTTACAAACGTAACGATAACTCAAAGTAAGCATTTCTTTTTAAAAAGAAACAAAAGAAAACAGGATAAACATACAGACATTGTTGAAATGGCAATTTCTGACCAAAAGTCTGAAAGCAGTTGAGCGCTTAAAGCACACAGGGAGGGGAAAAAATGTTTATGTTGGGTTCTTGGTTTTCTCAGAATTTGCTTCTTTTCCTGACGTTCTATCATCAAGCTAGGTCAGCATGCTGGAATTCAGGAAGTAGAAGTTCACACATCTTAAAGTTGTGAAGGTTGAGAAATATGATCAGATGATCTTAGCTTGCCTCCTATCGAAGAATTAACAGGAAGAGGAGCAAACTCAAAGAACACCAAGAATTAAAAAGGTCAGCATTAAACTACATATTTCTCCACTATGGCAAAATGCACGGACATACATAGACTTACAGTCAAACATGCATAGCAATGACAAGAATCTAGACCTCTGTTTGCCGATAACTTGGCAAGGTACTCATATTGTAATTGGTAACGCTCAAGTACCTGAATGGTGATATATCATGATTTAACAGCAAAGCTTTCAGGAACATTTCAAAACCTGAGATATAAGAACAAATTAAGCACTCTAATCAGCAAAGTAATAATTGTATACTATACTTCTTTTCAAGAAAATAATAAAATCAATGGAACTTGTTTTTGTCAATTAGGGAAAATTTGAGTTCTCATCAGCCAAAATCTTAAAATTTACAGTGCCTGACAATATGAACCCAACATTATTTTCAGTGTAGCAAGAGCACAGATGATAATATAGCAAGGAAGATTAGAGGATATGTTGCAAAGTAACTCTTCTTTATTAAGCAGTGTTAACATCTACTGTGGAAGAATCCTGAAAAATAAACATTTGTATCCAGTTTTTTTCCCCCCCAAACAGGTTTGCTTTATACTGATATGCTATACCTAGCCAAACTATATCTAGCCATAGTTTGCTTAACCATGTACTAGTGAATAAACGAACTTTCTAGGTTCACACAACATGTCCAACCATTCACCATGGCTTAAGTACCCCAAGAATTCAGTTCACCACAGCAAACAAGCTACAAAAATCTATGGCACAGATTGGGAAAGGCTAACTAACAATGTTTCTCCAATGTCTTAGGCAAATGTCCTTCCAAATATTGCTATCCCTTGGAAATATCTGAAACTAAAATTAAGACCCCGTGCATAGCATAAATATGGCCTAAAGAACAGCTATATATATCTTCCCCTAAATAACTAGAAATCATGCTATTGCCGTTTAATGGAACATTTAGAATCCCCCAAATTAATGATACTAAACATTGAAGATTACTGTGCATATAAATATACAAACAAGAAACAAGAATCCATTGGGGCGTGGAAGAGAGTAAAATGGATATTTTGTCTAGCATCCCTAAAATCCTTACCAGCACATCACATATAAAATATCCAGAAATCCAACTGTGACAGACAAGGGCCACAATCTGGCTATTATTTTATGAAATCTACAACATACACAGCAAACCTCTATTTTCCTAAATAGGCAACTTAAAGAATGGCATCAAGAAAACAAAGATCCAGAACGGGAGGCAATGGATAGCCTATCTAGCATTCCTCCCAATGTCTCTGTTATGCGATCACGTATTTTGGATCCAAACTTTCTTCCCACCCACACAGACTTAACGTTGTCTCAGCGCTGCTAGCACTGTAATTTATTAATATAAAGCAAGTTGAACTATGCAAACAAAGTCTGAACTAAAAGATTTTTTTTAAGTAAAATAAATGCCTCTTTTCTTTATAGCCGACCGGTACTTTAATTATCTCTGCCACCACATGCAAAGTGGGTTGGGTTTTTTGTTGTTGTTGTTGTTGATTTGGTCTGCTAATTTTGTTTGAGTTCCTCACTCTGCACAATTTGGTCACCGGTATCTCGAAAAGGAGATACTGAGTCATTCAATTTACCCCCCTGAGTACATATAAAAGACGTTGAGATTGTTCAGGAAGCAGTCAGACATTATACTGAGAGAAAGGGTGTTTTCGAACAAATAATCTTTGAGGTAGTCAATAGCTTTTGCTCATCCCATACTTCTCTTTCTCTCCTCCCCTTCCTTTGTAAATCCAGAGGCATAATTTCTATTCTACTAAAGAGGCAATAATCAACTGTTTCCTAATAAATCTTACAGATTCCATCTCAAATGGAAGGAAAAGTGCTTCCTAAAAGGCTTCTTAAATCTAAACTTTTCTTCCCCAAACATCCCTAAAAGGACACCCTTTTTTTTAACACTGAAGATGCTACCCTGCAAACTGCAGGCACAAGCCAGTGGAAAAGGGATTCAGTTTTGCATTTTTCCCTTATCCTTAATTAGATTTATTCTCCTACTAGTAATCACATGTAAATTCTGTTTTTATCCTCCTTATCTTATATCACTACTGTCAGAGCCAGTGAGTGAAGACATCCAAGTCTAGTCCCAAACATGTCTCCTCTAGAACAAACTCTGAGTCCAATGGGACTGATTCTCAAGAATGTATGTACAAAACTACAGGCTAAATCAATATTTATAAACACACTGCCAAGATTATCAAAACATTAAGTGGATAAAAGGGGATGACTAGTAATATACAAGCATGGGAGGAGGAAGGATTTTTCAAATAACCTTAATTACTTGGATTCAGCTTTGCATCTGAATATTCAATGTGCTAGAGACTCACACGGATGCTAGATTCACACGCACTTTCACGCACATGCATACCCAGAGACACAACCAATGACTCTAGGAAAGCTAGTCAAAAAAAAAAAAATGCAAGCAAGCCGCTAATTTTGCTACACGGGATATTAATGGGCTTTTTTTAAAAAAAAAAAAATCAAATGCTCTTTGGATTCAGCATAAGGTTCAGGGTAGTTTACAACCTCCCGGTTCTTGTTTATTGTGAAGGCTTATACATATGCATTATGAATAACAGCTACACGCCTACACACACAGTTGCACTCATTCACTGAATAGAGCTCGGATTTCTCATCTATGCAAGGAGGCTTACTCTGGGGTGGCAACACATCAGAGAGCCTTCCCTAATAGCCCCACCATAATCAGCAAGAATTCATGAATGAGCAACCTTCTTAGATGGTGCTAGGTGTATAGGTGTGCATTTTCCAGGCATTATGCAAAGGCTCCAGAAGCCTGCTGCATTCTTGTGGCACAAATCTGTGCACCATGGGTGTGTAGGGTTTGTGTGTGTAACAAGTTGGGACCGGACCGCACCGAAAAGGGTAGGACTACCGCCCTCAGCAAACTCCTTGGTGCAGTAACCATCAAGGAAGCCCCCACCTAGTTGCCAAGGGAGGCACAGGGAAAGCCATGGGACTTGCTGTTGGCTGGAGAGGATGGCTCCTGCCGGTTGTTAAGGAAGCTGACCAGCAGAAAGCCAAAAGCAGCTTCCCTCCCGGAAAGCAACGGAGGGAAGCAGTTTTCCCCCGTTGGGAGAACAGTAAGTGGGACATCATTCACGGGTCCCACATCGGGATACCGTATATTCTGGCGGGAGCCCCTCTTTCCAACTTCAGCGGGAGGGAGGGAAAAAGGGAGGGGGGCTTCCATTAAGGAGAGGGGGTCATCCAGGGCTTTCCGTAGTCTCTCTCTCTCTCTCCCGATGAAGTTCCTAAACTCCAGGGACGGGGCGAGGCAGGATGGAGAACTGGTCCCAAATTGGACCAGGGGAGGGAGGGGGGAGGGGAACGGGCAAACGGAGGTCTTTGAAGACTGCAGTGAATTGCGGCCGCTGCTCTTTCCGGGATGCCTTCCCCATCTGCCCGATTTTGGCCGGGTGTCTTTGCCTGTTATCGTCTCTTTTTCTTCCCTCTCCCCCCCCCATTCACACACACACACACACACACACACACACACAGGGGAAAAAATCTCGGCAGCTAAACTTTTCACCTCTCCCCGAGATGGCCATCACCGGTGGAAATGACACGACAATCTTCGGCGGATTCGTTCTGCCCACGAGAAAGGGAAGGGGGGGGGAGTTGAGTCACTTTCGCACTGCGAAGCGACTCCAGACCTCGCCCCCGCCCCCCCGCCGCCCCTCCGCTCGCTCTTGGTCAGTTCTACGAAGACCGCGTCTTCCCAAAGCCAGCTTCTCTCTTTTAAAAGCCTCCGGGCTAAAGAGCCGGGCGCCATCCGGCTCGCAGAAAAGCCTCCTGCGAAAAGCCACACCGGTCCTCCTTTCCTTTCTCCTCCTCCTCCTCCAACCTCCCCCCCCCCCCCGCCCCCCCCCCCACCACCCCCCCACACGAGCCACCCCCAAGAGGGCCCCCCCCCCCCCCCCCCCCCCCCGGGAAAAAAAAATCATTTACAAGCGCACGGCAAATGCAGAAATGAGCGGAGCGGTGGTGGGAGAGGGGGGGGCAACCGGAGTGCCACGCTGCATATCCCCCCACAGCCGCGCACTCACCTCGCTATCTCTTGTCCTAGCTCAGGCTCTGCTGCAGTTCCTCCCTCCCCACCTACCCCCCCACCCCACGCGCACACGCACACACACACGCACACACCTTCGGCGAGGTCCTGCCTACCTTTTCTCCCTTCCGAGGCTCGGCGTTACCAGGGAGGAGTCCTCGCCTAACGTACACGCGTTTCGCCCCGAGCGACACCCAGGCGACAAACGTTAAGGCACCGGCAGCCCCTTCTCAGGAGAAAGCGAGCCTTCTCTTTCCCCGCAACGTCCGCGCCGCTTTCCCTTCCGCCGCCGCGCTTAGCCGTGACAACCCCACGCGGTATTCCGTTCCAGGCTTTTCCATTTCGCGTCTTTTTCCCTCTCGCCGCCGCGAACTACTATGCTACACACGCCCTTTTTGTCCATTCCAAAGGCTGCCGGTTTCCTCTTCGGGCACTTTTTAATTGCAAACGCTCCACACGTCTCATTGTCAACTCTTCCCGCAACGAGCCAGCCAGTCTGCCCGCCTGCCTGCCACGTTTTTCAGGCAAGCAACTGAGAGCCAGTTTCTTTTTCCCCCTCCCTCCCCCCCCCCCACGAAGCCCGATTTTGTTTCCCCCGCGAATCTTTTGTCAATCAGGCAAAACGCCCCTTTCTCCCTCGCCACCCATCCCATTCCCATTCCACGCCGGTGTGAGAGTGTGTGTGTGTGTGTGTGTGTGTCACGCGCTCTCCCTAATTTACGATCTTCCCCAAAACACCCGCATCACAAACACACACACACACATACACACACACACACCAAATAGCAGCAGTTGTAGCGGCGGCGATTCCCACCCAGCCAAAGAATCTCGCAAACTCCGCTTAAGCCTCCCGCAGGCAAGAGAGCCGTAAATAAATAAAATAAAATAAACCACGGAAGCGGTCTCGCCGCGTGCAAGGCTTTCCTTCCCTTCCCCCCCCCCCGCCCCCCCCCCCCTAGGCGAGAAAGCCCCCCAACCCCCCGGCTGCGCGTGCCCCCCCCTCCCCCCCTACCCCGGGCAAAAGGGGCCCCCCCCCCCCTAAGGGGGGCGAAACTTTTAGGGAGCCGAGCTGGGGGGGGGAGAAATACATTGCGATGCGCTTCCCGCACTACCCCACCCCGCTACACAAAATTGTACGCACGCCTACACTCACCTCCACCCACCCACCCCTTGACAAATATTTAAAAAAATCCGGAATCCTCGGAAGAGCTTAAAGAGGAAAGTTCGAGGGGGTGACTGACTTACAGTTTGCATCGGCGCTCGGTTCGAACGAGCCAGCCTTCATCCTCATCATTACATTCCACGCCAAGCAGCCCCCCGCTGCAACTCGGGGCTCGGAGCCTCCTTGGCCGTGTTGTTGCTGCCGCTGCCGCTGCCTCTGCCGCTGCCCAGCATGAAGGGAATGGTAGGGAATGGAATGCAGCGCGGGGTTCCAATGGAACTCCAGCCTCGCTCTGACTTCCCGGGGAGGCAGACTGAGACACACATTCAAAGGGCTGCTAAGCTAGGCAGGTCTTCTCGCTTTCGCCTCTAGGGGGCGTTCAGATCTGCCCGTATCCGCGCACGAGAGGAGGAGAGGAGAGAATGAAGAACGGGAGAAGGGAGGCCCCCAGATGCCACGAGAGGCTGGCGCCTTCTTAAAAGGGCAACGCCACCAACCCTAGCCCTTAAAAGGGTCATGGTCGCCTAGGTAAAAGAAGAACCGGAGAGGCGAGGGCAGGGCGAAGGTGGGGGGGGGGGGGGGGGGGCGCGGGGAAGGGTGGAGAATTCCGAACAAGCGCAGATCGCAATTTAGGACTGTCCCGTCGCTCCTTAAGGAAGAAGAAGTGGGACCGCGAACCAGAATCCCAGAGGAAAGAAAGAAATCCCCCTGAATTTCATGCGTAGAACTTTTGAGGCAAGGCTGGGTCGAGAAAGCGGCCAAAGAAAAGGCGATTGCAATTTATTTTTGGTTTAAAAAAAAAAACAAAAAAACAAGTGCGGCATAAAGCTGAGACCTGAATGCTCAAAAAAAAAAAAAAAAAAAAAAAACCACCCCAAAGCTTTTTTCGCTCAATACGGAACTGATTTTAAAAATGGTTCACTTCTGTGTTTTATTCCACATTAATAAGATGCTCGGAGTGATGTATTCCCTTGAAAAGACGCTTGGAGCAGGAATTACATGTATTTAATTTTATTTATTTATTTCTAAGATTTATTAGCGGGTTGGTATCTAATAGCTCTCAGTGTGGCATATAATAAAAACAGAAATAAAATCCGGAATAGATATAAATCAAATGAAAAGCAGGCTAAGAAAACAATCTGTTAAAAGCGGCAATTAGTTATCATAAGCACACAGGGTAATTCTGTGCATGTTTACTAAGAAGCACATTATATTACCGTAGGTCCAATGGCAATTATTCTGTGTGCACAGAATTGCAGTTGGTTTCGTTTTGCGGAGCAATTATGTTGCAGAGCCCTTGGTTTTGTTAAAAACCAAACAAACTTTCACTCTGGGTGTAACTCTTGTATCAAATCCCTCCAACATAAGGTAGGGAACCCTGCATTCCAGCTGCCTTCAGCAGCCATTCTTTATAATATGGTACACCTGGGGCTTCTCTCTTTACCCTTACCCTCCCACCCTCCCCCAAATAAATCATTAAGCCATCTCCCATTGATTTTTATAAAGCCAAACTAGCCTGAGATCCAAAGCACGTTTCCTGGGAAGCAAATTCTGTTGAAATGGGATTTTCTTCTCTTTAGAACCAGGACGTAAAAGAGCAAGGGTCAAAGAGAAGCAATTAATCTTGCAAGTTCTGGTATTTCAAAAATGCAAATGTTTTTTTTTAATGCTCATATTTTCCATCAATACAGAATAATCTCTTTCTATGCAAGCTTACAGCACCAACAACAGGTAGGAGTCGGAAGCTTTTCACTGGCACCAAACTAGGAAAATACATTAAAAATAAGTATTGTATTGTACTTTATGCGTGTATATACAGTTTAGGATGGCATGCAATCAGAAGAAAAGCCTCCAACTAGTGTGACAGCAACTAGTGTTACAGGGGGGTGTAATATTGTCCTAATAACAGCATATATGCAACAAAAATTATATTTGTGAAAGTATCTATCTTCTCCAAAGTGGTGCCTTCTAGATATGCTGGACAGATTCTTTAGTTGGTGTGAATTAAGGAAGTTAACATAAAATGTGTAATAGGTACCAGTTTGGCCAGTTATTTTTCTTTTGTGAAGTGAGGAAACTAAAATATGTATTTACCTAGAAATACAGAAAGCAGTGAACATTGTATTCTGCCTCTGGGTTACTATATACAGTAATGGTAAATTTTAGAAGCCATATCCTCCTGGGCTGAACCTCCAAGTTCCTTTCCCACATGCTTGTAAACACTGCGGCCAAACTGGAAATGGTGTAGGACAGAGGTGGGTTTCAGCAGGTTCTGACCAGTTCTGGAGAATCCGGTAGCGGAAATTTTGAGTAGTTCGGAGAACTGGTAAATACCACCTCTGACTGGCCCCGCCCCCATCTATTCTCTGCCTCTCAAGTCCCAGTTGATTGGGAGGGAATGGGGATTTTGCAGTAACCTTCCCCTGGATTGTGGAGGGAATGGAGATTTTACAGTATCCTTTCCCTGGAGTGAGGTAGGAATGGAGATTTTACAGTATCCTTCCCCTGCCACACCCACAGAACCAGTAGTAAAAAAAATTTGAAACCCACCACTGGTGTAGGATCTCCTGCTGGGGCAGCAGGTTGGACTAGATGATTTACAAGGTTCCTTCCCTCTGTTAATCTGTTAATTGGAACAGATAGAGGAAAGGGTCTCTTATTATAGAGATGCTGTTTCTGGCAAATAATACATGTAGGTTAAACTACAGAAGGTTTATCACAATTGTCCCGTTTCTCTTGTTATAATACTACCCCATGAATTTTAATATTCTAAAAACGACAAAAAACTCTACCTACCGTCTCAAAAGCATTCTAAATTTATAGCCCCCCTCTCCACAGTTCAGAGGAAAAGGATTAGAATTGATATTCAACAGCTATGATTTTATAAAAGGTCTAATGGATGTTGGGAACTTACTGAACCTGAGAGTCACTCAAATGTTATTAGATGATGAGCGATCAGGTTGTTTAACTCTCCACTTGATGCCAATAGATTCCAATGCCAAAAAAACTTACCACATTTCATTTCAGCTTCTTCACTGTATGAATCAAGCATGAATCATCCATTCCTATAGTAGGAGATTTGTCCCAGAGTTGCCCCAATTAAATGGTCTTCCAGTATTATTGGGGGGGGAGAGGAATTAAGAGAGTGGCCACAGCTAGTGTTCCATAATTGCCAGTCATCTGGGCCAAGCTTTTAGGGAAGATCAACTTCAATTGCTCTGCAGTACCCAGGTGGCCAATGTCTTCCAGGGTAGGGAGATTAATATTAACTATCCACATTGTTATAATAAATGTCTGTCCATCTAAATCTTTAAAAAGAAAAATGTAGCGGCCCATGCTAGTTCTTACTTGTGCTGTCATCTCTGTTATTTTCAACTGGGTTTTTACTATTTGTTTGTTTTGTTTTGCTCTCCTTGTGGCAGTTAGATTCATATCTGATATTTTGGTTCTTAATAGTGCCTCTAAGATTATTAGCCTTTCTACGTGTGTTCACATTCTTTGCTGTAATAGCTTTCTATGCAGATTTTATGATACTAGAATACTACCTATCGTCAAGATTACCAGTTGCCTTAATAAAGTCCAATTCCCAATCTGGTTAAACCCATTCCATCTCCATAAGAATAGTAGACGGAGGTCAGAGATGTTGGGTTCATATCTCCATTTAACCATGGGGATGTCTATTTCTCAGCCTAACATGCTTTAAAGTGTTGAGGGTATCACAAATGGGGAGTAGAACCTGAATAGCATTTTGAGCTTCTTGGATTTTTTTTTTCTTTTTAAAAGTGTGAGTGTGAGTATGAAATGGAAACATGTTCTAGAAGTCTTTCCAAATTTGCACAAAGGTGTTGAGGGGTAAGGTGTCTCCAGACCAAATTTGCATTGTCAGCTTGAGCAGCTGCCATTTTATACCCTCAACCTGACTCTTTCTATACTGGGCATAAAGAGAAGGGAGGAAAAACATGGCTTTCAGCTGCTCACTCTTGTCTATTTGGCAAATGGATGTGGAACTTTTATGTTTCAGAGCAATCCGTTCACAAGGTTTCTGCAGGACCATGGTCACTTAACAAGGAGATAACATTGTAAGTAGAAAATCATAAATGCCATAAAAAAGATTGATTACCAATTTCACTTTATTATTTCTCCTTTAAAAGTGCATTGCGTGCTGGGCACTTTTATCATCTCTGTTCTTTCTCCTCCCTCCTCTTTCTTGCCCTCTTCTTATCAGTTCAGGAAGGTTGTTTCTATTGGTGGGCAATCCTCCTTGGATTGGTCAGTCATTCCTTTTCCTCTGGGCCTTCCCAGTTCTGTTTTATCTGCTGGGAAAAATTAATTTGTC